ACTCTAAATGAAGCTGAGTTTTGATTTTATGATATATTTTTATGGTGGGTTATATGGCTTATAGCTACTAATTATAACTCAAAAAGTTTTTCGGTTATTAAACCAATATGATGGGATTAAGAAAGTAGTTAGGTCGTTAAAATAAAAATATTTTGAAACATATTAAGCTATGGAAAGTCTATACCTTAAATATGTAGTTTTTAATTAGATTTTTTTATTAATAATAACTCATTTTTTACGCCCAAGGTATTTTGATATTTTAATGAAAAAAACACTTACTTAAATATGTTGTTTGAAATCTAAAAATGTATAATTTGCAACATATAAACTGTTTATGGCGTCAGAAACCGTATAAATGATAGGTAAAAAATTATAAGCTAATTGAATTCCACTACAGCACAGTTAAAACAAGGAAATTTTCTTTGTAGTAATATCATCTAACTACATTTTCACCGTTTTCTCTATTAAATATTGGATTTAAACCAATCCAATCCGCTTTACCATAACCTACTTAACTACTTAACGAGCGTTGAAAGCAACGCTTACCCCACAAAAAAACGAAAAAAAAAATTTGTGTCCAGGTGTTGCAACGCTTTTTTCGTACCTCCTCTATGTCGTTCGCCAATAATTCACGACCATGACGGGTTCGCTCTGCCTATGGGACGTGTCACAGCGCCGCAGAGATAAATTAGTTAATAAATAAAAGGGAAAAATGCTAACTAATTTGCATATTTGCCCTTTGCGCGGTCTTATTGACAGTTGGGCGTCGGGCCACGAACTTCAATGCCAAAAGCCAATGAGGCGCACCAAAAATGCATTTAAACCCAAACGGGGCGCTTCAGCTTCAGCTTCTACTTCTACCCATTTACCCTTTTGGACAACAATTGCCACTTTGTGCTCCGCTCGCATTTTATTTTTTCACCGTTCTGTATTTTTTTGGCGGGACGCAGAAATTTTCTATTTTTGGCTGGCCTAATTTGCATATGACAGCAAGGATGTTCCCAGTGCGTGTGAGTGAGCGAGTGTGTGTGTGCCGGAATTTGGCAAACTCTCTACTGGGTTGCTCTGCCAGCTTGCTGGTAGGTAGCGAAAGTGAAAGGATTCGGGCCAAGGGGCCCAAAGGATAAGCGCCCTGATTGCATACCCGAAGACTTTTAACGGCCGTTGCATGCAAAATCGCAAAAATTGAAATTGCAGGAGGTCTGCACATGAAAAAAAAATGATAAATGACTAGGTTGCATCCACGGGGAGATTCGCATTTGCCTACATGCAATTTGCCTACACGATAGTTGACCTTGCCAAAAAATAGCAATGAAGGGTTGCTCAAGGGTTGTCTTCCGTGGTCTCGTCTTCAGGACTTCCAACCCATCCTGTTGTTGTCTTAAGTGTTTGTGTTTTTTTTTGGCGCGCAAAAAAATAATCTAAAGTTGGGCATATGGTAAAGAGTTGTCCGAGGATTCTTTTTACGCAAATGGATTGCAGCTGAGGATGACGATGATGCCTTCGATGTGTCTCTCTAATGAAACGTTTGTTTGCAAATGAGCCAATAGATAGGGTGAAAAGGGGTTGTGAAGACGATGCAAGGATTATTTGCATGAAATATACTTTGAAGATGATGTAGGTAGGACAGTCAGTAAGGATTAATTGTATGCGAGATTTTTAATCGATTCTCCTTGGGTTACCTTCAGAATCAACTGGGGTTCCATAAGCTATTATTTTAAAAAAGAATCAAATTATCAGTTCATGGAACGAAACCATTAAATTTCAAAAGTTATGACAATAAGCTTCCGTTCAAGCAAATTAAAAATTTTATAATTTAATCTTAAATGATAAGTATGTGTTACCATTTTAATACGTAAATCCTATACGTTAAAATAAAAATCAAGAAAAGCCCAAATTCCTTTTATAGACTTTTTCATTGCTGCTAAAATTATAAAAATCGGATTAGCTGATGCTAATTTACGATGGGTTGACACTTAAATAAAACTACTCCCACAGCCAGACTAAATTCCGCTTTTGGCAAGGCCAATAAAATAATGTTTTTCTTACTTAAAATCCTGTTTAAATGCATTAAATACCGCTTAAGCAAATAAAATTGCTTTGCATTTGCCACAAATTAGTAGCCGCGTTATATTACCCCTACAAATTTTGTGTGTGTGTGTGCGGTTGTGTGCATTAATTGTATTGCGCGATAAACAAAGCGATCAAAAGCAGACCAGTTTAAATGTCTTGATTCGGAAATTATGGCACTTTAATTACCAAAGCAGACGTCGAGGTTTTCGGGTCTCTCACTCTCGCTTGCCGGACAACAAATTAATGCAAAATAAGAAGAAAATTATGCTAATAATTATAAACAAGTGCGCCCAAAAACGGGCACTGAACGAGGTGTGAGATAGAGACGGAATCGGAGTCGGAGTCGGAGCGGGTAGATGGCCATATAAAAATGCAGCCAAAATGCTAATCGAGCTCATTATCATCCAAATCAACGGCTCCGTGGTCGCGGCCGAAACGAGAGATCTTCCATTCATAAACGCAGCGCTTAGTTATTTTTTCTTTCCTGCTCATTTTTTACCATCTTTTTTTTTTTATTTACTCGCATGCGGCGCATAATTATGCAACAAGTCCTTTCCTGGCCACAAAAACCAAAAACGCGGCGCGTGCGCATTTAGCATATGCCACCGAAAGGAGTGGGAAACAAAAAATACAGAATCACCGAGGGAGGATGGCCGGCAAAAACAGGATTTTTCCTTCGACATTTGAAATTTAAATACTGTTTTTTGTCTCTTGCTGTTGTTATTTAGCGCCGCCACCTAATTATCATGTAAATTTTTGTCTAAGGATGAACAATGAGTGAACGAGAGTGACTGTGACTTTATTTTGTCACTGGGTTTTTGGGATGGAAACGGTTGTTGGCTTATTAATTATGCCCAAGTGCGTGGCCAAAGGATATGGTCGTGGAAAAAACGTAAACAAATTTCATGCAAATACGGTTGAACTTGTCTGGCTTGCGTCTGCTCGGTTGGATGACCTTAGTTTGCATAATTTTTTGATTGAGCTCTTGACCTGCCTCAAAAGAGGTCTAAAACTATGTTAAGAATTTTATGCTGTAGCGTGTGGGGGTGTGAGTTTGTTTGGTTGAAAAGGCTAAGGGGCTTATTAGAGAAACTATTTGGGGTAATATGTACTACAAAACAGTGTCGAGTTGGTTTTCTTTATTAAACAGATTGAAATTCAGCTACTTAAAAACGTATAAACTATTAGGAAATGGAAATTTATTTAAATTAATTGTAGTTTTGGCCCAGCCAGTGAAATTTTTAGGAGAATTTGTTTAATAAACGTAAATATATTAGTTGATTGGGTTCGGATCCATTCATTCATTGTTTTAGCGAACATAAAACTTTTCATATTATCTCCGTTCGATTCTTCCCATTATCCCTCAGCGATCAAATAAATAAAAAGCTTCAAAACTGCACACTGAGAGACAAATAACTTAAAAACTGCACATTGAGAAACAAAAGGGGATATTTGGATGAAAGATATAACGATGCCAGTTCTTTTAGCTATGCAAATTGGAACGGCAATTTCGCAAACCCCTCAAAGAATCAATGAATTGTCATTGGGCCATAATTTAACTGTTAACTAGTCATAACAAAGTCAGACTGACAAAAGAAAAAAGGAAAAGATGTTCACGCGCAAAAGAAAGGCAGTTTTTGTATAGAAAAACAAATGATATTTATATGCATAACAAAGGGAATACCACATACGGCTTACCAAGTAAAAGTGCATTTATATTTTGAAATTTAATTTAGAAATTAAGTTTATCTTACAGCGCTTTCAATTAATTTGAGTTTTATTCCAGGCTAGTGCCCTAGTTCTATTATTACAAACATTAATTTGATAATTAATTGGACCTCATCAAGTGAATAATTGTATAATGATAACTTGACCAGTAAATTAAATAGCAGTTTAAACTAGTTTGTGATTCTGCCTGCGCTATTGTAATACATTTACTTTTTAATCACAACAGTTAAATTCTACGGCTTATAAATTCACAATCAACAAAGACGACAAAACTTTTTTGAAAAAGTTTACAAAAACACAAGTTTATAAAACACACAAAAAATTAAATAATAATATATTTTTCCTATAGTATATATGTTTTAAAATTGAAAGGGTTATAGTAAAAGTAATTTAGTTTATATTTACTGATAAGCCAAATGCCATTTTTTGGTTGTCTTGTTAAACATTATATGACAAACATTGGCCAACTGAACGAAAATAGTCAAATAGAATTTTATACACATTTAAAATGATGATCAAAGTGAAAAAAACAAAATATTTGTACTATATATATTCTCAATTCCTTATCCACGTTATGTTACTAATATGTTTTTCAGAATCGCAATGGCACCTCTCCTGATTTCCTCCCCTTTTCGCAATAACCACACACACACACACTGACAAAAGGAAATTAAAAGTTGTCTGGCCAAGGAGCTGCAAGGAACTGAAACAAAGCTCCCAAAAGGAAGAGAGAGAAGTCCTGGATGGAAAAGCTCCAACCGGGAACCCAATTCGTATTCCTATACCTATAGCTTATTCCCGATAGCCAGCGGTAAGCAAAAAATCGAGAGATGCGCTCTCGCCCTCTCGCTCTCGCACTGGGCAATTAAAAATGTCACTCTGCATGGGAATGCATTGAGGAAACTTCGCAGAGCCGGCTCTTGGAATCTTTTTTTTTTAATTTTTTGGGGGCGTAACGCTGGAATACGGCGAACCCAATAGAGCGCAAGTCTCACTTCCAGTTTGCTGCGATAGCAGCTGTCTCACTCGTCGCACTGCTGGCGGTGCTGCTCGCACCCGTGGAATGCTGGAAGGCCAGTGGACAAACTGGTTCCGCTCGCACGGTGGTGTGCGTGAGAGAGTGCGAGTGTGTGCGTCGCCGTGTCTGTGTGCCGTACCGCCGAGCGTCGAGAGCGCTCAACGTAGCGCTGCGGTGCGAGACATGACGTTAGTTCACTTCGATAGCTCTACGAGTCTGCACGTGAATTTCCCTGGGCTCTCGGCTGTCTTGACTTCTCAGTCTCAATCTCAGACACACAATCTCAATCGAAATCGAATCGCATCGAGTCGGCTTCGAATCGGTCAGCCCACAAACAAATCCACTACACACACACACACACAAACACAATCGCATCTGAATTTCAATTCGAGCGAATCTCAATCTGTATCCGAATCAGAGTTTCGCGTTTTGACCACTGATTATTAATGTTATGATCCAAAGCGAAATTTCACCCGAAGCGAAATTCTCGTCACAAAAGTGCCAAGTGTTTAAGAGTGCTAAACCAAAATTCTAACAACAAATAAATAGAATACCCAAATCAAACAACAAATTAGCCAACCGCTAGTCAAGCTAAACAACACAAAAAAAAAAAAAAAAACAACAAAAAAACCCGTGAAAACCCAAGCGTTTGCCGTCGGATTTTTGAAACAAAAAAGAACCAAACTTGTTGAGCGCGCTCGAGGGCCACGCCCCCGAAAAAGGCCGTAAACAGAACAGAGAAAAGATTTAGAAGATTTTTGCGCCTGCCACGTTGCCCGTAAAAGACGTCAAGACGGTTGCCTCACGGTTCGAGTGGAATGAGCATAGGGACCCTGGTCTTCCTTTCGATCGATCGGTGTACAAAGTCGTTAAACTGAGCCCCAACTTGGAGCCCTACCCCGCCAGCGTGGAGGGCCTGAACAGCCCCAGAGCGGTGGGGATGGCCGCGACCTCGTACATGACCCCGCCGAGCGGCGACCTGGACCTGGCCCTGGGCGGCGGTGGCTACCACACGTCGTCGCCGCGCTCGGCGGCAGACGCGGGTGAGATGAAGTACATGCAACACCATCACCATCACCATGTGGCCGCCGCGGCGGCCGTCCATCACCAGTTGCCCTCGTCGCCGTCGCCCAATGGCCAGGGCAACGGGACGGGTTTGGGTCTGGGTCCCGGCTCGGGACTGGGCTCCTGGAGCGCCCTGCATCCGGATCCCTGGTCGCTGCCCACGCACCACACACATCACCATCCCGCCGCCGCCGCTGCCGTTGCCTCGGCGGCCGACACCGTTAAGCAGGAGATGTCGCATCTCTCGCAGCAGACGCGCATCCAACAGGGCATGGCCTCGCCCCACGCCGCCTGGCACGCCCCCCATGCGGGTCACTATGCGCCCACGGGCGGCTCGCCGCTGCAGTACCACCATGCGATGAACGGCATGCTGCACCACCCGGCCCATGCGGCTGCGGCAGCGCACCACCAGAGTGTGGCGCCACTGCATCATGCGTTGCGCGGGGAGTCGCCGCAGCTGCACATACACCATCACATGGGCGGCGGCGACCGGGACGCCATAAGCGGCGGAGAGGAGGACACCCCCACCTCGGATGATCTGGAGGCCTTTGCCAAGCAGTTCAAGCAGCGCCGGATCAAGCTGGGCTTCACCCAGGCGGACGTGGGTCTGGCCCTGGGCACCCTCTACGGCAATGTCTTCTCGCAGACGACCATCTGCCGCTTCGAGGCACTGCAGCTGAGCTTCAAGAACATGTGCAAGCTGAAGCCGCTGCTGCAGAAGTGGCTGGAGGAGGCGGACTCTACCACGGGCTCACCCACGTCCATTGACAAGATCGCCGCCCAGGGGCGTAAGCGCAAGAAACGCACCAGCATCGAGGTGAGCGTGAAGGGGGCCCTGGAGCAGCACTTCCACAAGCAGCCCAAGCCCTCCGCCCAGGAGATCACCTCGCTGGCCGACTCACTGCAGCTGGAGAAGGAGGTGGTGCGCGTTTGGTTCTGCAATCGGCGGCAAAAGGAGAAGCGCATGACGCCGCCGAATACGCTGGGCGGCGACATGATGGACGGCATGCCGCCGGGTCACATGCACCACGGTGGCTATCATCCGCACCACGACATGCACGGCAGTCCGATGGGCACACACTCGCATTCGCACAGTCCGCCGATGCTGAGCCCACAGAATATGCAATCTTCGGCCGTGTCGGCGCATCAGTTGGCGGCTCACTAGCAATCAGAAATCCAGGAGTCGAACTCAGCTGCAGCTGCGTCCACTCCTGCATCCCTCAATAGTCTAAGCCAGCAACAACAGCAGCAGCAGCAGCAGCAGCAGCAACAGCAACAGCAGCAGCAGCAGCAACACCAGCAACAGCAGCAACAGCAGCAGCATCAGCAGCAGCAACACACTCCGAATACACCTTCGTCGAGTGCGGGATCGTCGGCAACGATGACCAGCCAAGTGATGTCGCCGCAAAGTCCGCTGGGCAGCTCCTCCGCTGGCAATCAGGCTAACAACAATAATAACAACAACAACAATAGTAGCACCAACAATAATAATAATAACAACAACAACAACGAGGAGCAAGTTAAACACCACCAGCAGCAGCAACAACAACAGCAGCAGCAGCAACAACAGCAGGCATCCAGCATAGCAGCCGCTGCAGCAGCCGCCATGTACATGGATCCCATGCGCTACCAGCATCCGCATCACCCGCATCCGCATCCGCACCAGCATCCGCACCTGAATCCCGCCCACCATCCGCACCTGTTTCACACGAGCGATCAGTTGCAGCACTCGCAGCAGCAACCCGTCGGCGGCACCAGCAGCAATTCGCAGCTGTCGCCGGGTGCCGGCAGCAACAGTGGGCTCCCGCTACAGCCACCCAGCTCCGCCTCGCCCGCCGGATCCGCCTCCTCGGTGCTCGGCGGCCATCTCAATCTGAATCCGCTGCATCAGCACCACCACTACCAGCACCACCATCACCAGCAGCACCATCACCACCAGCAGCAGCAGCAGCAGTTGCACGCCCGCCGCCTCTTCGAGCTGAGTCTGCAATTCGGAGCGGCGGCGGCGCCCGGAGCGGTACGACACTTCAACAGCTTCGGCGGGGCGGGCGGAGCGGGCGGGGAATAGCATTCGTCGGCCGCCTGGTTCGGCTATGAGTCCTCCTAGGACTCGGTGTCGAACGGGTGGCCGCAGTTCAAGCGGGAGCAGCCCTAGAACCGTACAGTCGAGCTTCTCTAACGTGAATTGTATGACCCCAGCAGTAGTTACCTAAATTTGTTCGAACTCTGAGAATTTTAGAATGTTTCGTAAGTGAAATTATCATTGCTATATCTCTTGCACAAAAATCTTTTGAGCTTTGATACCTTTCCAACTTAAAATACAATTTATTTGAAATAACAGCTCAACCTAAATTTTAAAAAATTTTAAGGGTTTAAACATATTCTTATAATGTTTTAAGTGAACTGTTTTAAAAAGTGCAGACATTTATTGTCAATGCTTAAAAGCCTAAACCAATTTCAATTTAAAGACAGTTGTTAAAACTATAAATATTTCCGAAACAAATTTCAAAAAATTGTTATTGTAATTGTAAATTGTTTATATTTTGAGATTCGCGTTAGACAAGTTCGACTGTACGTAGATCTATAGAAATAGAAATAAGATGAGGTCCGATGATGGGGTTGAGAAATCGTCTTTTTTACCAGTGCATTAATCTGTGTTAAACTTCAGCTTAAAGAGGAGCAGGGAGTGGAGGAGATGGGGAGGCTGCCATCCACCAGTTTAGTTTGTTTTAAAGTTTGAAAAACTTGCTTAAATTAAATCAAATTAACTAAATTAAATGTAAACGAAAATTTCCCTTATATAAAGCGAAAGAAACACGCAATTCAAATCAAACGTGAAACCAAGTGATGTTGTTTTAACCTAAAAACTATATGCTAAAAATTAAACTAAAAGAAAATAAAAACTAGTTAAAAGTGCGACCCAAGTGTTAAAGAAACCAAAAAAGACAAGCAAAGAAAACAAATTCCTCAGCTGCTCTCCACAAGCAAGGTAAATGTTTCCATGCCCAACAGTCCACAAAATATTTTTTCGTTCAACACTTTGTCGCCGTCTAGATCAAGTTAAAAAGGCTCAAAAAATGGCAGCAGTAAGACAACTCGGTCGGTTCTAGCTAGGGTTTAGGTTCATAAGCAAGCCGTGTTTATATATATTATATATATATAGCCAGTAGATTGTACTCTAAAAAATTTATAAACAAACAAAACGTAAATCAAGAAAGAAATAACGAAAAACGTAGAATTTAACGCGCGGCGCAGTAAACGAGAATACGAGATGAAAAAATGATTAAGTAAAATATGGAAAAACCCAAAACATCTGTAAATAAAAACTTACAGTTAAGTCATATTTTTTAGCTTTAAATGCAATTGTAGATTTTTTAATAAACCCTTTAAGAAAAAAATCATAAAAATACAACCACAGCAGAAAAAATAAACAACATTTACAAAATATAAACTGTAATTTCTAGGCGGTAATTTTTAATGAATAGGCACGTGAAGTTTAGTTACTTAGTACTGTACTTTCTATATAAGCAAGGAAATCGAATGGAAAACAAACAAGAATATAGCTAAATCTTAAAATTTAAACAAACCAATAATAATCAAATACAACAAATGCTAAATTGTAATATAATAATTGATGTACATTAAAACAAAAAGCAAACTAAATGCTAAACACAAAATTGAAATTATTTCAACAACAAAAATAAACGAAAATTGTGTAAAAAAATCCTCTTTGTGTTTTTTGATATACGTTTACATTTTAGTGTACTTTTTCTACTTTCTTATTTACAAAAAAAAAAAAAAATAATCAAACTTTATCTTTTGGGTGTATCTTTATATTTAAGAACTAAACGAAATTTTTGTTTAGTGTACTTTGTTTTGGTATGTTGAAAACTATGCTATAAGAGCGAGAGAAGTGAAACCGAATATTTAAGATTAAGCCATGCCCTCAACTGTATAATAAATTATATAGACGTACATATATATGCAACAGCAAAGTCAACAAAGCGGTGCATTTCCCAAACACACATCCACACAGAGGAAAACCAAGAAGAAAAAATTAAAAAACAAAAAAAAACTCTTAAAAAACAAATAAAAAAGAATATTATTCGCAAAAACCATTCTTTTATTTTTATTTAATTAGCGGCTGATTTTGTTTGCGTTTATTTTCGTCTGGTTTTTGGTTCAGCAATTTATGAGTCGTTGGTTTTGGCAGTTTTACAGGAGTTTTACGGCCACCTTTTGCAGATGCTGGTTACGATAGGGCGTTTATATCGATGGAATCGCGATAATTGCCCGTAATATTAATTTCGTTTGTTTGCTTAAAGTGTTCGGAAAGCCATTAAACAATTAAGTGGGCATATTATAATGCGATTCCCTACGTCAGAGCCCGAGCGATTGGTAATAAACTAACAACACCCTCGGAGATCGAGTTATGGGGCTCGTTAATGAAAGTTGCCATTAAAAAGCGTGGCATTTCGTGAAATTACCTTTTTATAAGGCCTCAAGTGCTGCTGGAAGTATTTGATGAATCTCTGTTTGTCCCTGGTCAATGGACAATCATCAAAAAAAGTGATGTCAATCAGCAGGCGATTAAAGTGACAATTTACCTGATTTATGCGGTCAACTGCGATTTATTTTATTTGTAAAACATCAAGGGAAAACATTTTTTAACTTCTTCATATCATGAATAAAAATCTATATTGAAAATACTTTAACAAAGTAAATCAAATATGCATTTATTACATAGAAATTTATTCATTTAATTTAACACCACTTTTTAAAGTAATGTTAATGGAAACTGTATCCATTATGGTTTTAGTTCTTTTCTCCATCTTATTTCACAATCCCCGAAAATGCAAAACAAAATCATAAAATATCATTAAATGTGTCTCATTCCGTCTGCACATTGCTCCCTGCCACCTCATTGCCACCTAATGTGCCGCACGCTTTTAACATTTAATTCATAATTTAAATGCATATTTCATTGGATGTTGATTAACAATTTCGTACCGAAACGATATTGGTTAGTAATTCTGCATAAAAATTGCATCAGCCTGTAAATATATACCGAGTCCTCACCCGCTTTTGTGTACGAAATAAATTCGAATAATTGAAAGCCAGTTTTAGGCTTAAATATATAAACAACGGCCGCGAAAACAATAACAAACAACAAATAATAACAATAATATATATAATACAGAAGCGCAAGTGCAATGATTTTTATTTATGCGACGGCATTAATGCTTAAACCAAATAAAAATGTCTGTTGTTATTTTCGTTGAAATTGAACTTTAGGCGCGTGGTTTATAATTTTTCAGTAAAAATGGAAAATGGAAAATAAAAATGAAAATTATATTTTCTACACCAAGCCAAACGCCCACGCGATGCGCACCATGCACTTGAACAATATATAGAAAGTAATATATATCCACCCATATAATTATTCTCTATACTCTCTTAATTATTTTCTAACAAAAAAGTGGACGGCAAAATGAAATGAAATTTAATGGGGAAACAACATGGCTGCCCACAAGCCTATTTATACGTTTATCTATTGCCACCTGCCATTTTGGGGTAGTTGAAGCACACACACAAAAACGCACACCCACTCGTGTAGATGAAACCTGCCCCTCGGGTTGTATAAACTTTTATATGGAAAACGGAAAGGAAAGGTTTTTTAATGGTCATGTGCTAGCTGAAATACGCTTTAAGAATTTATGCGACTTTCGGAGGATTGTCCAAAAGAAACTGGGGTAAATTCCTGGCTGATTAATCATAGTTAATGGATTTTGGAGATTTACACATGAAGTGGAATGTAATTTTATGTCTTTATGCATTTTAATTATCTGGCTGAGGGAATTTATACTTTTGCGTGATAGAATAGATAAATTATAAATTTATTGTCTATATGTTTCAATTCAAAGAGTTGTTTTTAATATTTGTTTTATTATTAATCAAAGTAATTGGAAAACTTACCTCCATACAATTTCATTTTACAAAAAAAAATGCTAAATAGTTTGTTTCTTAGAGGATTATACAAAAATACCCTTCCAGCTAACGAACTTTAATGGGTTACTTAAGTATCAGCTCAATATAATTTAGTATTTTTATTCATTCTTATTACTAAAGTTATGCCACCTTTTTATAGAGTCACTCTGTAGTTAAAACACATTCCACATTATTTGATGATAAAAGAAACCACTAATATACGAGGGCAAATTGTAGTTTTCATTGGTTTTAATGTTGCCGTGCGTGCCGAGTGCGACAGCGGGAACACCCCCTACACGACAGCACACCCTCCCCATCTATGGTATATCTATAGAGAGAAACCCCTCCTCGAGGCAAATACCGACATTTTCATTATTATTTCGAGTGGAGTTGGTTTTTTATTATTTCGCGTGGCAAAGCAACACGCCGCCTGCTTTTGTACATTTCACTGTGTGTGCTTTTTGGGCTGCGTGCATACAACCGTGTCAATAATTACCCGTGGGACTGACACGACCAACGAGAATCATTCAAATGTTGCAAAGCCAGCAGAAGCACCAGCGTCCCACTAACAATGGCTAAAAACAAAAGCTACAGCAGCAACAGCAGCTGAGAGACACAGAAGCTGGCCGTACAGCAGAAGTTGGTAACGGCGAGTCGGGCCACAATGGACGGGCGTATTGCCATTGTGGCAGCACTGCCGCAGATCTGGCAAAATGGCTGACACTAGTCAACGTCACCCGAAAACGGGCTGACGAACTGGCCGACTGACCATCCCCCAGGAGCGGACTACCCAGGCTTTCGGTTTGGATTTTAAATTTCAAACAAAGTATTCGTTGCCGTTCTACCTTATCAATAAGGTCTGTTAATATAGTTATAGTTATATTCTGTAATATGTTCATTACAAACTTATTTTTAGTTGAAACTTTTTATTATAAACCTTTTCTTCCTTTTCATAAAGTACTTAAAGTATCTTAATAACTAGCTTGTGATTTTCTAATTTAATAATTTTAATAATTATAATTGTATTTTATTTTAAATTTTGGTTTTACAATTTAATTTACAATTGAAATGAACTTTTGGACTTTACGGTTTTGATTTTACTCTTAATCCACTAAGTTTTAAAGTTCTTATTTTAGTTTTTAATAATTTAAAGAATTTTTTTTATTTCTTAATCCGGACCTGTAATTGGGCCGCACTTTTCGTTTGTGTGACTTGGCTTTTGGCTCCGGCTGGGCGACTTTTTCACTGCCATTCGGAGTGTCGGGGACTCTGTGCTCATTATCTATGCTTCCTTTGGGAATTTTCATTTTCTTTTTCTGCGCTTTTTTTTCTTTTTGAGTTCTGGCTGTGTGCGTTCGTGTGCGACAGTTCTGCAAAGAAAACAAAGGAAAGACAGATGAACAACACTAACCGGATGGGAAGTACATATTTAAAACTATTTAGGTGTACTTGGATATTCTTGTTTCGTTTCGAGCCAAATCAGTGCGTTTGCTATTAAAAAACCTGGCGCTAATTACAAAAATTTATTGCCTCTTAACGGAGCCCTCGAATACGTAAGTCGAATGCAGTCAATAGCGTTGGAAATTCTTTTTAACTACCCACAAAAAATAAGCTATATGTAGAAAGAGAGATACTCCCACCAGCGAATTAAGCTGTGACTGTGTGTAAAGTGCAAGCAAAACAAACCACAAATTGGGATGCGGCAGGTGGAGGTGGAGGTGGTTGGTGCTGGTAGTGCTGGTGGTGCCGAAGGTGGTTCGGTGGTGCGGGGGCTGCCATTCGACACCTTCGACTGTGGAGGCACTTACAGTGCTGGATCAGCAGACACCTAGACAAATAATGCGGGCACGCTATATATGGAAGATCATTGTGATATACGTATGCATGCGAGCTTCAGGAAACATCGAGGGGGAAGTTTGATAATTTGGTAATAAATGGGGAAAATGTATTAAGCATTCTATTAGCACCTTTCCGTAAAAGGAAAGCTTGAAGAATGTTTTTTGGAATTCGATTTAGGGAGCTACTTTAAGGGAGTCTACGCTAATATATTTGGCAATTGGGCTTAAATATATGTTTAAATATCTGGCTTCAATTTCGCTTAAAATTCACCTAATAATTTTCGGATGGCTGGTGAAGTAATCCAACTTTTTTGGCCACCCTCGCAAATAGCTACACCGATATTCGACTCTGAAATAAACATCTCTCTAATAAGTAAACGCAATTGATGGCTGAACCATGACATTGTCGCCGATCTCCGATCTCCGATCTCCGGTCTCCGCCAGTCGCCATTTACGTCTCGTGTGCAGTCCCGGCCAAAACTGTTGAAAATGCGCGGGTTATTAATGGCTTTATAAGCTGCTGCCGTTGCTACACCTTT